TTATTTTGGCTGATCACCCCAACCATCCTTCTCTTCATTATTCACTATAGTCAACTATCAACCCACAATTAATTCAAAATTATTACGTCGGAAAGTCAAATTGAATACTATTAGGTGAAATATCAAATGGACTCAATTTGTTTTTAAGCATTTTAATCAGTATATAACTTCCTAAAATCACAAAGTAAAAAAAAAAAAAGAAAAAAGAAAATAGTAACACATAAATTGATAAATATAATGTTTTATTATTAACTTATTATTCCAGATTATCGTTATTACGTACCACCAAGATGATTTTCCATTATGTCTTAACAGGTCTTAATGAGATTAAACAAACAACCTAGTCAGTAAACAAAAATACAGTCCTTATCTGCACATTTCACGTTTTGTTTCCTTTATTTATCTGCTTGCCGGTTTATCGCAAATTTAAATATTTCCTGAAGGTTGCCTATTTTTAGCCTGTTCCTGCTCATTGCCCTTTCGCCAACGAGATTCTCCCGGTGTTGTGTTGTTCACTCAAATCCAATTCGCTATTTTGATCCAGCACGTGTTCGCACAGTTAAGTGACGTAATGACTTCCTCTTATCACGAAATTTGGAGGACACAACACACTAGTCCAAGGTTACGAGCCGATTCTTAACTGCGAATTTCACATCGGAATTAAAATGCTTCAATTAAAACATTTTATTTTTGACTGACCCAAGAATTACAATTTTTCTTGCACAAAAATTGTTCGATAGATGGGAAACAATATTAATTATGATACTTACATAAGTATTTTACAAATTTCAAAGAGGTCACGTGTAACAAACAAAATCAAATAATAACAAAAATAGGATGCTTCTATCTGTATTTTAAGAAAATAAATATTTTTTTTTTATTCATGATATTTACAACTGTATTACAAATAAAAATACATTCAGTAAATGTGAAGATTATAATAACATGGAACCAGTTGTTGAGAAACTACCCACTGGTAGCACTCTAAAAATGTACTTACAAAAGGAGATCTGGAGGCAATCTTCTTTTTAGAAGCCTCTTCTTTTAGCCTCGGAGGGTAAGGAAATAAATATAAATAATAGAATGAAAAATATATTTTATTAAAATCATATATTTATTTAGGGATACATCTCTGTACGATATTGTATAATTAATTTTCATGAATAGAAAATATATATGGTTTTTGTGTTTATCTTCCAATAGGAACATTAAATAGTATTAATTAATAAAGGCTTTTAAAATTTTAATTTGTAAAAGGTAGGAAAATACGAATACCATATGTAACAAATAATCCAGGCGAAGATTGAGTGAGCAAAAAACCGCACCGCAGTTTTCCTTCAAATTCTTATCCGGAATGCCCTAATGAAGAGGAAACTCCATGTTGCCTCAGTTTAACTGTTTAGTCTGTTTTACGTGTGCAAATGTTTATTTATCCACTCCGAGAGGATTATATTAATTCAACTGTATCTATTATTCAATAAAAATGATCAGTACGAGTGAATATATTCATTATTAGGGTAATTTCAAAGTTTTGAATTGAGGCTTAAAAAAATATGATTTCATTTGTTTTTCTTTTTTTCCTCAGTATTTTGAATTTTATCTAATAATAATTTAAAATGAAAATTATTATATTAATGTACTAAATCCATATTTTTAAACAGATTTGAAAGGATATATTTTAAAACCTTTTATTTCTAATAGATCTGTTAAGCCTAAAAATATATTTTTTAGTCTAGGCGGTGAGTGCTATTGAGTATGCAAAAATCCTTACAGCGATTTCTCTTCAAATTCTTATCCGGAATGCCCTAATGGCAAGGAAATTTCATGTTACCACCTTAATATGTGGTAGGCTTAGGCTGGAGTCTGGTGGATACATCTCTGTACGTATATGTAAGTATTTTAATTATGTTCTATTTTGTTATTCTAAAGGGACTTTGTCCCAGAATAAAGTTATTTTCTATTTCTATTTCTATTTATAAAACAGACTAAACAGTTAAACAGAGGAAACATGGATTTTCCTCTTCATTAGGGCGTTCCGGATAAGAATTAAAAAAAAAACAGCGGTGAGGATTTTCGCTTAATCAATCTTCGCCTGGATTATTTGTTAAATATGGTATTTTTATTTTCCTATCTTTCATAACTTAAAATTTTAATACCATATTTAATGTGCCTATTGGAAGATAAATACAAAGAGCATATATATTTCCTATTCGTGAAAATTAATTATACAATATCGTACAAAGATGTATTCCTAAGTAAATAATTAATTTTAATAAAATATATTTGTATTGATAATTTTTATTAAATAATATATACAGTTGAAATAATATAATCCTCTTGGAGTGGATAAATAAACATTTCTATACATAAAACAGACTAAACAGTTAATAACAATTTCATGATCAGGTATTATACGTGGCTTTTTTGTTTTTCGTCGATTTATACATAATAACTAACTAAATAATTATTTGAGTATATAGAAGATTAGTTTTCTAATTTTTGTCTGATAGGTAGAAATGAGTGAGGTATGATCTACCAATAGCTAGACATAATGAAAAATTATCAAGTGGCTCACTTCATACTTCAGTGTACCCGCTGAAAGATTAAGCAATATAATTATATTTTTAAAATATAACAGATAAAGCCCATCACATATATTGTTATTGCTTCCATAAAACTTACGTACAATAAAAACATTTTCAACACAAGCAATTTTCAAGACCAGAGGAAAATTTTGATCTTATTAAAATTAATTAAATTATGTGATTATATTATTGGAAACATGATTTTTACTTTGAAATATTAGTATTTTAACGTTTATGGTAGGCCAGGATTTAATTTTAGGAGGGAGGGAGAGGCTTCAGCCCGAAAGTTAACATATGTATATATATATATATATATATATATATATATATATATATATATATATATATATATATATATATATATATATATATAATGATTATTAGGTTTGAGTGATTCTTGAAGTTCTATAAAATGTAATTACCCGAACAATAATAGTTTTAGAGAAAATATTTTAATATTTTTTTCATAAGACATCGTTATATATTACCATTTTGGGGGGAGGGAGAGAGGAGTTTTCAGCCCGAAGGTCCCTTTCCTCGTAAATCCGCCTGTGGCTTCATGTAAGTCAACATTTTCCGGAGTGGTAAATATTCATTATCGGTCAAGCAGTGTGGACAAATTTCCATACCGTTTGAGCTGAAACTATTGGGCAGTAAAATATCCTGTCACAGTAAGGACAATAGTTATGATGTGAAAAGAGTCAATCACACCATCCTGTTCATTTACAGAAAATATAAATCAATTAAATTAAAGCAAAGCAAAATAATAACTAAATAATAAAATTAGAGAAAACTAAATCTAATTACAATAAAAAGTAAAATAAAATAAACTTAAAGATAATTAAAATAAAATAACTTATACATGTTTAGAACTAACTGTAATTCATATAAGTGTGTTTGTACATACTTACATAAATTATTTACAATCAACCAATGGAACAGCACACCTCCACTGGTTGCTCTCCGCAAACCAGGATTCCAATCGCTAATTTCTCAACCGAAAATCCATCGCCGAATTCATGGGCTGACCTGTGAAAATGGACAATGAAGAAGGATTAGAATTAGAGTAATTTATACCCTCTATAACGAGCCTGATATAGTCTCGATTATCAAGGCAGGAAGATTAAGGTGGGCGGGACATCTCGCACGGATGCCAGAGCAGCAAATCCCCAAGAAAATATCAACAGAACAGCTATTTGAGAGGCACAGAGCTGGAAGACCCAGGCTGCGGTGGTCGAATTGTGTCGCAGGTTTCAGAGATAAAATCATTATTCGATTTTTCATTATCTGTACCAGTAACTGGCAAACAACTGCAAAATAGATCTTCAAGCCGGGCAGTAATAAAAAATAATTTAACAATAGGTTTATCCAGTAAATCAAGATCTAGGATATCTGAGAATCAAAAAGCAGTTTGGATGCATTATAAGGCAATCATTTATTTATTGCCCTCAACAATAGAACTAGTGCTGTGAGCTTTAGGTCATTGAAAAATTCTATCAGACCTTAATCTAAATTTCAAAATAGACCATTTTAAATAGTTTTTCAAACATAAAAAGAAACAAACCTGTAAACATTTCAATTCCCGGGTATGAATTCCACATCCCAGTTAAATACACACTCCCAAAAACTGCCACAAATCCATCTTTATGCTTCATCGTTCGTGAAATATTTTTGTTTTTTTTGACATGCTTTATGTTTTCTCTATAATCCTTCTATATATGTCACTATATATTATTTTACAATACTTCAAATCTTTGAGATGAAATTAATGGCTTTTTCCTAGCCAACCAGTCGAAGAATCAATGCAGAGATGTCCTCGCAACATTTTTCTCACTGATATTAGTGTCATCTGTTAAGCTGAACATCAATTACTCCTGTCGAAGAAACATGCTAACCCAAAGATTTGGCAACTTTTTCAAGATTACATTAAATTTGTTTTAATAATTTCCGCTTAAGGTGGCATTGAAGCCCTAGCGGATCCAGGATTTATTTTTGGGGGGGCTTCAACCCGAAAGTTTTTTTTTCATAAAAATAACGATAATTACCTTGGAAAAAAATAAAAAAAAATAACTACCTGTATGAAATGGTGTTAAGTGATTCCTAAAGCCATTTTAAATGTAATTACACGAACAATAATACTTTAAGAGATACTTTTAAAATATTTTTGTCGATAAAACATGGTTATACTTTACCATTTTGGGGGGGCTTCAGCCCGAAAGCCCCCCCCGTATATCCTCCCGTGCATTGAAGTAAATATCGTAGATCACGTCTAGTATCGCTACAGTTGAATGAAAATAGAAAAATGAATTAATATTTTTATGTAACGAAGGAGTGAAATTAAATTTTGTAATATTAACTTTATTTTTTACGAAAAATCATTACTCGTTATTTCTCATTATCTTCAAAATCTCAACAATGGACCAACCGTTATCACGCCTTACAGTACTGAAGGTCGTAGAGTGGGGGTAATGGTCATGTGGTATAACAGTGGGGTAGGTTTAGTTGTGAATTCTTGACGGATTACAGCGTAGAGAGAGGTAGCCGGAATTCATACCTGGGACCTATCCTTTGTCTCCGTCGATCTCATCTATTGTGATATTGCGTCTTTGTGCCTTCCATTCGGAATCTAATTATTAAAAAATTAAAATGCCTTAAAGTCTCTTCTAAAACTTTTTAGAAATGTTATTTAGTGCCCTTACGAAGCAAAGATGTGCATTTTCTTCAACAATAAGACTTTTTTCCTTGACATCATGGACTCGTTCAGATTTTGCAGATCTGAGAACTCTGTCCCCTGCAGAAGGACTGCCATCAAGTGTGGATGTTGTGATTTGTGGGGGAGGAGTTGTAGGTGCATCAGTGGCCTACCATTTAGCTCAAATGGGTTGGGGGCCAAGGACAATACTCTTAGAACAGGCAAGGTAAATCTGATTATAATTGATGGAATTTAAAAATGTGTTTGAACATTAACTCAAGCTTTTGAATATGAGATACATTATCTTTGGAATCAGACCATGTACAATTATGCAAACTATTATTTTAGAAAAAAACAAATCAGACAAATGATCATAATTATAGTAAAAAATAAGACCTAAAAATAATTAATTTTCCTTGATTTTACCAAGTTAGTAAAAAATTTCTGTTGAAAATAATTGTAAAAGAAATCTGTTATTATATCTAATAAATTCATAAATCTGTTTTGATTTATTATATTTATTTAGTGATATGATTGTTAAGATTTTCAAGTTTATAGTTTAGGTATTTCAAGCAATTATTAGTTTTTCTAACAGGATGTGCAAGATTGATTGCAGTGAAAGTACAGTTCTCATGTGATTTATTCCTCATTCTTGTTTATTATAGTGTCAACTACATATCATATAGACTATGAATGAGGTACTATTTCAGTACTGATCTTATTATCAAACAAATAATTATCAAATTCTTATGATGGATATGCTCTTTCATGTTTTATCAAAATTAAATTTTTCTGTGATAATCCTATCATTTTCCTTATTTTTACAGAACTTGTAGTTTTTTTTTTTAGATTTTAAAATACATTGTATCTATGTTTCTATCCAAATAAGTACTCTGAGATTATTTTTCCTGGTTTCAGTCTTGGCGGTGCCCCGACATGGAACACCATAGGTCTTGTCGGTGTCTTCAAACCAACCTTAGCTCAAGTAAGACTTTGTCAGACATCAATGGACATGTTTCGTGATCTTAAAGAGCTAGGCCTTCCAACTGGCTGGAAACAATGTGGAAGCTTATGCTTAGCAAGAACTAATGATAGAATGACAGTTTTCAGAAGAATGAAATCTCTCTCTGTGTAAGAACAAATTTGTTAAAACTGACACTACCTACCTACTACTTCATTTTATTTATTTTTTTACTGTACAGCTTAACTATCCTAATTTAACTTGTTAGCACATCTTTTATCATTAAATTTTATTCTTTTTTATATTAATAAAATCTACTTTTGAAAATCTATTTATTTTGATTCAAAACTTAATTTAACATTTTCTTTCATAAGGTGGCTAATTTAGTTGGTCAATTCTATAATGTATTGTAACTTTAATTTTTGTATCTTAATTTAGAAAAGTCTTAAGATTGATATTATTTCAACATCGAGGAATTTGTATATGTCATTAATATTATATTAAAACTTTATTTGAATTCATGATTCATGTGTATTAGTATCCCAACTTTTAATCATTCAGTCAAATAAAATACAATATTAAAAAAGTTTGTTATGATCATTAATATTTAAACTTATTTATTTTTACAAATTAGGGTTTCTTTTATTAATCACTGCAATGAAATTCTTTAAATATAAATTAATTTTATGATTTTGGCATTTAAATAATTTCATTCCTTGTTAGTTTATTTATTGGATAGGCTAATTTTATTGAATTGTGTTTTGACTTCATTGAAAAATAAGCATTTTTTCGTTAATAAAGAAATATTTTGTTCAAAATACTATCTGAAACACCTTTATATCTTTTTTTCAGATCTTGGAATATTGATTGCGAACTAGTCACTCCGATCGAAGCTCAAAGGAAATGCCCCTTAATTGCCATTGATGACCTAAAAGGTGGCTTGTGGATTCCTGGTGATGGTGTTGGTGACCCATATACTCTTTTAAACTCATTACTGAAAGTAGCTGTAAGCAAAGGTGAAATCAGTTTTTATAATAAAATTAATTGAGTATAGTTTCTGACTTTGAGATATATCACTATTACTTATGATTAGGTTGGTTATTTATTAATAACTATAAACAAAGAAATTAATTTATGGAATATGTGGGAACCCTATTTTTTTTTCATATCTGTTTATAAAATATTACTTTTATCATGTTTATTTCATCTATTGAAGAGTAGACATTTAAAAAAGTAAAATGACTTAAAGTAGGTTAGTCTTTTATTTGTAAGTTTTATTCTTTAATAATTATCGATTATTTTAATTAATTGTTTATTATTTAAAATCTTTATCTTCACATCTATATTTATACAAAAGTTAAAATTTATTAAAGCCTGGTTTCATACGGATTTTCGCTAAAATAGTTTTTTTTGTAAAAATATTCTTTTTTTCTGATTTTTTCATATCATTTGGCAAAATTAGTTAATATGAATAACATTAAGCTAATTTTCCTGATATGGTACTCAGCTGTGAGCTGTTTGTAGTATTCTTTAATGGGAGTACTACATTATCTAGCTTAAAATAGAAGAGTTGGAAGCCAAATCACTTATGTTTCTCCTTCCTCATTGTATTTCTAATACTATACAAACTTTTTGCATTTTAATATGAAATTTTATTTTGGATCATACTTAAGTATTATACATTAAAGTTAGGATAACATAGTGAATATATTTATGTGTGTGTATGTGTGTATGTATATATATATATATATATATATATATATATATATATATATATATATACACATACAGTCCTTCATATACACACACAGATAAAATAATTATCAAATAAATTTGTTAAAAAATGTATGTAGGTACTTACAAGAATTAATAAAAATCATTGCCAAAATTAGTTCTTTACTGGTGAAACATAATTACTCAACAGCAATTAAACAATATTAATATTATCAAAACATAAAAGCAAATCTTTTTTCATTCTTTTGAGTTTGATTTATATTATTATAGAATATTTTCATTGACAGTTAATATAATCAGAGAAATCATAATTAATTAGGAAAGTAGTATAGAAAAAAACAAATTGTATGTACTTCATTATTAGCTAGAAGGCTCAAATTGTGTGTAAACTAACTAACTCTCCTAACTATCTCTATTTGCATTTGCAAATATTATTTTTTTCTATTTTCACGGGATGTTGAATTTGTCAAAAAAACAATTAGATAAATTTTATTTAATGAAATAGTTGTTCAAGTTTTTAGCAATTGAATGTTTGCTTTCCGAGTATATCTATTCCCGTCATTATTATTATCACTTTTTATAAATTTTCTCTTGTGATTTATTTTCAATTACGACAGGTTACACTAAAATATGAATTGCATATAATACTTGTATATGGTCCTAAAAAAAAAAAATAATAATTTTGGTAAGTATCTTTTAAGTAAAGGACTAAAAATAATATTTTATTCATTTCTTTACTGTTGGTTTTTTGGTGAAGCCAAACCTTTGGGGATGTTTTTTTGTGAATTTCTATGTTATTTATCAAGCTAATATCTCCATATTTGTTTTTTAAGCATATCCAAAGAAGAAGAATATGGATATATTAGTTTAATTGTGCTCCAGCTCGAATCCTATAAAATTAATTTTTTTTTTTTCTGTCGGCAGGACTTCGAGTATATGAAAACTGTTCTGTATCAACTGTGCAAGCAAAAAATGGTCGTGTGGACAAAGTGGTTACTCCTTATGGGGAAATAAACTGCTCAGCATTTGTGAATACTGCAGGTTTCTGGGCAAGAGAGCTAGGAGCGAGATCTCGGCCTCCTGTCAAAATTCCTATCCACCCAGTGGAGCACTACCATCTTCTTACTGTTCCTATGAACATAGATCCAATGATGCCTGGTATGTGAAATGCTCGAATAACTTATAAAGTTCTTAGTTGTAAGCTGTGTAATCATAAAAGTTATTTTTTTCCTATTTAGAGTTGATTTATATAGGTTTATATATATTGAAAATATATATACTAATTTATAAAAAAACAAAAAAAAAAAAAAGAATTGATGGAAGTTTGGGGATTCCAATAACAGTGAGGAACTTAAATAAAAAGAAACAATTTTTATTTTATTTTTGGCTGACATTTTGGCCTAAATTTTAGGCCTTCATCAAGGCTGAGGTAAGACAATATAACAACTAAATACGATTTTTTATTCATTTGCTAGAATTCATTTATTAGAAGATAACATATACTTTGTTTCCTTATATTTTTATAATAGGATCATAATAATTTTTGTGTGGTTTTATTTTGTCATTCCTAAGCCCTTATGAAGTCCTAAAACTGAAGCCGTAACCTCGGCATTGAATACCAAATTTTTATTTTTGTTTCTTACTGTGGCTACAATCCCCAAATAACTTCCCAACCAACACCAATCATTCCTTTTCTATTATCCTGTATTTCTTTGGAAATTTTAAGATATGGAATCATAATGTATATTTTTTTCTTTTTTATATAATATAATCATTTGATTTTAGGCTATTTTCATATATGACCATATATTTTTTAGGCCATTGTTAAAATTATGCATTATGTTTAAGATATTTCATATTTTTAGTTGTCCGTGATCTGGATGGATACATATATTTTAGAGAATATGAAGGGTGCATTGTAGCAGGAGGTTTTGAGCCAGTTGCAAAGCCTGCTTATGAAAATGGAAAAATACCCAGTAAGTTAAATGTTTTTTAAAGGTTTTAGTGTGCACGTTTCTGATATTTTTTATTTGCTTTATTGTGAGAAAATATTCTCTAACATAGACTTCATTATTTTCTCAAGGCCAATATTCTTTTAAGCTCTTGTGTGTTTTTTTTTACCTCTCTTCATTTAGTAAAGGATTCCATTGAACAATGGGTAATAATAAAACAATTGAACTAATCTTAATGAGCCAGTGACTAATATTGCAAATATAATAATTTTTTATTATATTTTATTTTTATTTTTTAAGCGCATGTGATCTTTGCATATTTGAAATTTTGATTATTTATTGTTCATAATTTAGGTTTCTTTTTCATCAGTATAAATTATTATTTTTCCTAAAAATTGGTTATTGTTATTGGCAATATATAATCATTTGATTTATCTAGCATACACATATTAATTTTTGATTGAATCTCTTATCTTTAAAAAGGTTGAAAGCTTCTTATTTAGTGAGTTCATACAAAAATGCATGTAAACCATGCAAAAAACAAAACTTACAAGCATTTGCAAATGTTTGAAATCATTTGTGTGGAGTTTTCTGTGTGTTCAGAATTGTTCAGGTTTCTCAAAGAAAATTTGTCTTGAGTTAAAATAGCCTTTGTTTTTTCTGGTATCATGAATTAATAAATTTCACAATGAAATGTCTGTTATAGTTGCTAATGTCATCTAAGGACAGCTTATGACAAAATTTCCATATGTCACTTTTTTTGCTTCCTTAATTTGTGTTAATTTTGTTGTTTTTATTAGATACTCAGGCTGATCGTAGTCTTCCTGAAGACTGGGATCACTTTAGCGTGCTTTTAGAGCAGCTATTAATTCGAATTCCTTCTGTGGGTGATATTCGGCCTCAAAAACTGAGTAACCTACCTGAAGCATTTTCACCTGATTGTAAGTGGGTGGTTGGTGAAGCTCCAGAGGTAACTAAGATTAGAAAATTTTTACTATGATATTTAATCCTGAAAATTATATTACATTTTTATGTATGACATTATATTTTTCAGGTAGAAAGGTACTACATTGCTTCTGGAATGAAAACAGTTGGTATTTCAGCCGCTGGTGGAGTCGGAAAAGCTATTGCAGAACTTATAACCAATAATAAAACTTCTTATGATATGTACGAAATAGACATCAGTAGATTTCTAGGACTACATAATAACACAAAATTTCTAAGGGAAAGAGTCAGTGAAGTGCCAGGTAACTTTCTTATTACAATTCAAATTGTAAACTAAGACAATGCTAATCATGTTGGAATAATTACTAATCATGATCCCAAAAGATTTACTTTAAAGAAATATATTTATACTAGTAAATAATGCATTAATGATTATGAATTATCATTTTACATCTGTTCGGATACACTTTTGTATTTATAGATAATAATTATATGAATTCTAGAGATAATATTAATATAAACATTTGAATTAAATAAGAGCAAGAAAAGATTTCATGTAAAAAATAACTGTTTAACGTATTCAATTTCATTATGAACTTGCCACATTATATTTATTTTTTTAACCAAAAATATTAAATGAAAGAGCTACTGTACATATGAAGCTTGTGTGTAGAGCTACTGTACATATGAAGCTTATGTGTAGAGTTACTGTACATATGAAGCTACCGCTGAAAGTATTGATTGGAACCCTGAAAAAAGTTAATTTTTCAATAAATATAGGCTAAAATATAGGATTTATGGGTTAATGAAAATCATTCCGGATCAAACAGACAATGCATACCGGCCAACAACCGAAAGAAGACTGGGCTGACAAGAGTGGGAATTGGGTCTTTTCCTCCACAGTATTTCTGACTCCGACATATTATTTTTTAATTTAAATCTTTGATAAATAAAAATCATAAAAATATGTATATATATACAGTGAGGTGATCATACTCATGAAGTATGGAATGTTAAATTAAATTACCAAAAAAAAGTGAAGAATTCCTACATTAGAACAATTTTCATAGATACGGTCAGCTTTAAAGGGTTTATACAATGGCTCTGGTTATAACAATAAAGTTTAAAGACTGAAGTGAACAACATAATAGTGAAATATATACAAAAATGTAGCATTATTCAGATGACAAAAAAACATCAACACAACGGATAGGCCAACTTGGCTTGTTGATAATTAAAACTAATGCTAATTTAAATAAATATTACCTCTGAAATGCCTGCATTGTTAAATCAGTTTACAATTAAGAAGATAAATAAACGTTTAAATTAAAAAAATTATCATTTTTATAAAAATTTGGTTCGTTTAAAGACTTTTTCACACCATTATTTATATTTATTAGTTGTTTTTTTTCTTCAAAATATTTCTTTTATTGTTCTAGGTCTTCATTACAGTTTGGTTTATCCGTTCCATGAGTTTCAAACTGGAAGAAAATTGCGAATGTCTCCAATTTTCACATCTTTAAAGGATGCAGGTGCTGTTTTTGGTCAGGTCATGGGATATGAAAGGCCATCTTGGTTTGAACACACTGGTGAGAATTTTGAGTATTCTTTTCCTTTATATAATGACACTAATGTTATTTAAAACGTTTTATAATATATATATATATATATATATATATACACCTATATAAACAGGGTGTCTCAGTTTTTAATGGCCAATTTTCGGGAAGTGATTTCAGATAAAATTTTGAACAAAAAACTTCATTAGATGCATGATTCCGAATGAAAAAGGAAGGAAGTATGACCAATTTTGTGTTTTTCTTAAGGTGGTCACGTCTTTTATCAAATAAGAAGAAATTGTTCAAGATAATTAAATTCTAAATACACCATTGTAAAGTAGACAACATTTTCTTTGAGAAAACACTTATTAAATTTACTTAGGTCAATGATAAAAGGGACTTTAGGGAGGTCTAATACGGCCGCTGTACTGCTGCAGTTACAGTATCCATACACGAGCAGCATATCTCTGTAATTCCTATTCCTGAAATAAATCGGCTCATTGGTAGACTTTGTGTTACTAGAGCTTCTGAGAATCCCTTTTATCATTGGCCTTAATAAATTTAATCATTATTTTCTCAAAGAAAATTTTATATACTTTACGATGGTGTACTTAAAATTTAATGATCTTGAACAGTTTTTGAGCAATTCCTTCTTAGTAAAAGTGACCACCTTAAGAAAACAAGAAATTGGTCTTAACAACTTTTCCGTTTGGAATCGACCCATGCCTCAAATAAACTTCTTTGTTTGAAATTTCGTCTAGAATACCTTCCAGAGTTTGGCCAATTAGAATTGAGATATCGTGTGTATATATAAACTTAATTCACTATTTGATTTAAAATTAAGCATGCTGTTTGTGGGACAGGCATTTTTTACTTTTATCCTTCTTTTCCAATTCTAATATATGGGACTTGTAATTTTTGGAATTGATGATATTGTTATGTCCTGTCTTTATTTATCCTATTAATTTAATATTTTTTAAAATGTCAAAATTAAATTTTTCTTCTAACAGTTATTTACCCTATAAGATTAACATCATGAGCTGAAGTTATGACAATATATGTAACACAAAAATTAACTGTTAAATAATTTTATTATGATTATTAATAAATCCATTAATAATTTTGTCTACTTTAATCTTTTATTAAGAATAATAATTTGGATGGCTATCCATCCATTTTCAAGTTATAAATCTTTTATTCATTTTGTAATTTTTTTTCGTTTTAATTAGTACCTTTGTCAGAATATTAAAACATATTAAAAAGCGCTACTTTTTTTTTCATAATATTGCTCCTGGAAATTTTAAACAACAAACAAGCAGCGAACAGATAGAACCAAAATGTAACAGGTGTATTACAAAATGACTTTAAAATTTAACAATGATATGATATATAAAACAATTTTATGCAGGAATATTTTGAACAAATAGTAGCTGAAAAAAAAAAAAAACCTAGTTGAAAGAAGCATAGTATAAAATATGATAAGTAATGCTTACAGAATTTTTATTTGAAAATTGTCTCATAAACTTCAAAAACATGGTTTTGATATGCAAAGTTTGAATGGGATTTAATACAAAATTTCAATAATCTTATTAGAGAGACTATTCTTAAAAATAACTGACTAACTATATTGAATTACTTAGCAAAGAAGTATGCTTGATAAAAAATGCATGAGTAGGCTAATAGCTAAAGATGTTCAGCCCATGAACATTTAAAACATCCTGTGGTGTCTATTTACACCTAGAGATCCCTCCTAAAACTGAAACTGTTACTACCTTACCTAGCTTTAGAAAGCCCCGCAGCTTGTGAAGGGAACTCATAAAGACTGGACAGAAGGTTATTATATAGCTATTAATAAATGATGATAATGGGAAAGAAACTTTTTATAAGTATATGTAGGAATTAGGCCTTTGAATAAAATAATTTATTGTAGAATTATCCAAATTTTCAACTCTTTGGCATCATCAGGGATACAAATAGATTTTAAAACATGATGTGAATTTTCACCTGAAAACCAGACCAGAGTCCATTTTTTTAAAAGCATTAAAAATAATTATAACCAGCCACAACATATACATAAATTAGACAAAACTCACTTGTGCATAGCGGTGCCCAGTATTGCATATCTAGTCCAGTACACACAGAATAAGAGGAGTTGCCAACATTAAAATATTAAATCATAAAGATAAAATATAAAACATCTAAGATAAAAATATAATTTAATATTATAATTATTTTATAAATTATTGCACTATACTAATTATCAGTAATTAATTTTAATATATTTTGTTATTAAATTTAAAATTATGTTACCATAAAATTTATTTTACAGGTTCATGCATTTATTAGGAATCAACCCAGAGATGCCATAATAGTATTATTGTTTATTTACGATTCTTATTGTTTCTAAAAAGAAATTATTTAAATTTCCAGCATCCTTCTTTAAATTTATAACACAATCGAGGTTCTCAGATATATAGAGTGCTTCTAAATATTTTAATTTTAGTTTTTTATTATTGCTTTGGAGGATCAACTGGTTCTCAAAATCGAATATATGTTTTGATTCCAATGCTTCATTAGCTAGTGTGGTTTTTGGATCTTTTTTTCCTTTATTTTTATTTTTGTACTCAGCACAAGAATTTTTATGTTGGTAAACCCTGTTACTAAAGTTTTGGGTTGTCATGCCATTGTAGGAATTAAGACAATGTAGCCAATTTATTTTGTAAATTAAATTGTAATTGTAATTCACTACACAGGCCTCACTAACTCTACAACATCACTTGCTTAAACTACAAGATTGGTTCACACTATGAAAAATTCGACTTAATCATGACAAATCCAAACATATAACATTTACTCTTCGAAAAAACACCTGCCCTCCAGTTTATATTGACAACAATCGAATTCCTTAAACGGACACAGTACTTTACCTTGGACTCACCTTTGACAGAAGGATGACATGGGGCCCACATGTTAAAATGAAACGTGACACTTAACAAACGACTCAAACTACTTTTCTCTCTTTTTGCCAAATCTTCAAAACTAAAACAGAAACTGAATACATATACATAATTACTTAAGCCCATATGGACATACTCATCACAAATATATGGCATCGCTAAAAATTGCGACTCATAACAAAAGCACCTCGGTACATGACTAACAAAACTCTACATACTGACCTCCACTTTGACCAACATATAACGACCCTATATCAACGATTTTACACACATTTAAATGGACATAATAACAGACTTATAAGAGACATGGCCACAGCTGACATAGCTCAGAACATGAGGAGGAGACTAAAAAGGCGTTGGATGAGGGATCTCCTAGACAACCTAAGTAATTGGAACAGGTTAGTTAAGAGGTACTGCTGAGTACTTTCCTTCCCCATGCCTGTCATGTCATTATATCATTATCGCCATCACATTTGCTGATTGTCAACTTATTGTTTATTAAATACATATTTAATAGACCAAAAAAAAAAATTGTAATTCTGGTTTGTAACTATTTTATCTTATGGTGGTGTCAAATTTTGGTGCATCTTATTAGAGATTTTGTATGCTATCTTTTATATCATTTACATTATCTTCAATGAATGTTTTTTTTCGGCGGTTCGGAAAGATGATTTATATATGTTAAAGGGTTGTATCTCAGAAAAGATGGACTAACAATGTTTGATTATTAAGTATTCTTAGGTTATTGATTTTATCTAACATTTTGTACCATACAATGTCGTGATTCCTAAAAGTTATATATAATTAATTAAATTTTATTTCTAAGAAAAGAAATGTAGTAATTTGATCTTGAAATATGTACCTAGTTTATAGAAGACATTAAGTGTGATGTTTCTTTACTATTTTTATATAGAAATTGGGATGGAGGAATCAGAATTCAATTATTTTATCTATTTCATTAGAGTCAGATATTGGCATTTTATATTTTAATTTTGTCTATTGTACTTACTGATTACATTTAATTTTTATTAAAAAGGTGACATGATAAATAATTTAAAATCCTATCAATACAATCATCTTTTTCTGTCCACTTTAATTTTAGTTGATCCTTACAATCAGTAATTAAGATATCTAAAAATCGAATGCAGTTATTTTATTTTATTTCGTGAGCCACCGTTACATGCAAGTAGGTTTTGTCTAATTATGCTTATCTTGTGACTGGTTATTATTATTTTTAATGATTTAAAAAATATACTAGTGTCTATCAGCAAGTCCTCTGATAGATTTTTTAATGTAATGTTTTAGATGAAAATTGGCATAATGTATTAATATCTGATTGTATCCCTGATGATGCCAGAAGTGATGAAAATTTGGATAATTTTACAATAAATTAATTTTTTCAAAGCTTTACTATAATTTTATTTCCAATTCTCAATTAAACCTGAAAAATCTTTTTAATTCCTAATATAATTCAAATATTATTAAATTATTGTACTAACCTTTTATTTGGGCAATTGCTAACATGTAAAGTTATGTTGGTAGGACCATTATCCTCATCAGAACCAGATACCCCTACCAAAAATTCATTGAAAAAAGGGGAACGAGGGAATCTCAAACAAGGTATATTGTGTCATTCGTAGCACGAACTTCACTAACAGCTTAAAAAATGTTTTAAAAAAAATTCAGTACTTTTTTATAATTTTTTTTATATTAGTTTTTAATTACATAGTACTTAATGTCTTCTAACATATCTGGTGGAGGTGTTCAATTTCAAACAGATCTTATATTTATGTTTCATTTTAAATTTTGCCCTCTATTAGCCATAATCTATGTTTATTTGCATGGCCTTATATTATCTTTAGTATAAATATTATTCTTTTTTGTGTTATGTATTTCTTCTTGAAAATCAAAACAAAAAACCTTGCTTATTAAATTTCTTTTCATTAACTTTGGGTGAAAAATAATCAATTTTTCTTTTATACTTTACTAATTTTAGTATTTTAGATGTCCTGCCTTCAATCATAATTTTAAAATGCTTAGCAGTGGTTTTTTTCTTTTTTTTATTAACGATTGGTTCAAAATTGTATTTTAGGTTTCTGTTCTTATCATGTTATATAGGAAAATGACTTTTTCCCTTTAATATTTTTTCTAAATTTTTTTTCAGTCAATGTCTTTCAAAAATTCGTTTGATACTTATAAAAACGCGTTTTAGGTTTAAAATTCTATTGAAATATTTCCCAATATTGTGGAGTTCTTTTGTTTAAACAGTATTAGATTTTGTTTTTCAGTAATAATCTCATAATTGACGTAATTTCTTTATATATGTGACTTTTATCAAAGTATGTGTGTTTTTATTTTAACATTTTTATGTACTTCAACTAATTATTGATTGGCTCTACCAGTTATAAAAACAATGCTAGTCAGAGAAGAAAGATTGACATTTGTATTCAATTTAAAGTCAACCTTCACTGGCCAGTTTTGAATAACCACAGCTGACTTGAGGTTGAATGTAATTATTTGAAAAAATAAATCAGGAAGTTGACAAGTTCTGTTTATACTTAATTTCACCCTTGCTACAAACAATTATATATAAATTTTTTTAAATACAAAAAAAAAAAAAGTTGGATGTCAAAAGTTGTCTAGTATTGAATGATTCTAATTCTGTAATAACGTCAAAACATAAATATATTATATATTTATGTTGAGCTTTAATAATCATTATAATAATAGTGATAAAAGAGTTGTTTCTACTATACATTGTTTATTTTAACTATAAGTTTGTAAGCTATTTTTTTATATTATTTGTAAGACTTAATTATGATTTTTATTGGGGTTTCTTAAATTTATTTATTAAATGTTTACAGATATCTATGATGGTGGAACTCCTTACAGAGTTGCTTCTACTAATACTTTCTCAAAACCTCCATGGTTCAATTATGTAGCTGCTGAATATGCGGCATGTAGAGAAACGATTGGATTGAGTGACTATTCTTCTTTCACTAAATTGGAACTTTGGGTATAGTTTATCTTTCTGATTTTTATTTACATTTATCAAATATTTCACGGTATACCCAAATCATTAACACTTTTTTTGTTTAGTCAAAAGGCGATGAAGTTGTGAAAACACTGCAGTACCTTTGTAGTAACGATGTTGATGTTGTTGATGGTAGTATTATTCATACTGGTATGCAGAATGAATGTGGTGGTTATGAAAATGATTGCAGTTTAATAAGACTTGCCCATAATCAGTAAGCAATTTATATTAATATAAATTATTTTTTCAACTTCCATTTTGTTATTACCTAAATTTAATTGTAAATAAATAAATTTTAGTTAGTTAATAAAAAAATAAAATATCTCTAAAAATAATGATTAAACAAACGCGACTGTGTTTACAAAAAACATCTCATGACCTATTGGATTTTTAAAATATCTAAAATATCTAAAAATCTCCCTACGACGCTTAAGGAGACAGCCCTGATGAAGGCCTGAACTTCAGGTCGAAACGTCGGCATATGTAAAAAATAAAAAATAAATATTATAATTTATTTTTGCCTTCCTTTTTGACTGAACACCCCAACTATTCTTCTCTTCATTATTGGATTTTTAGTTTAAATTCATGTATGTATC